ACATAGCTTGATTTGGTTTGGCATTGTTCCATTGAATCGACAGCTGTGCTTTACAAAATCAACGAACAGATGAATTCTTGCTGTGCTAAAAGGTTTAAGTACTACACTACATTATAACAGCCCTTTCTTTATTCTTTTTTTAATTTGTATTCTTTTTTTTTCCAGAACATAACAACACAGCCTGCTAAATGTCATGAGATCTTTCTAGAGGGTTATCGAGAATAACTTTTATCCAATGACCTTTTCCCTCTCTGTCTGTGTCTGTGTATTCTCTTGTTCCGATTAACCCAGCCAAATCTTTTTTCTTGTTTTGTATCTATATCTACGCCGGGATCCGGAGTCGAGGCTGATCCTCTTGCTGTGGTCCTGTGCCCTGGATCCTCTATCCTGAGTTCTGGATTAAGTCGTGGACTTCGGGTCGTGGCTGAACCGGTCTCAGCGGTCCTGCCTTGGGTCTCGTCGTGCTGCCTCCCTGAAGGCTCCCACAGGATTGTAGCTGACGTCCTCGCGGATTCATCTTCTTATTACAGACTCATGTATTTCCTAACGTTTGGTATGTTGTAAAATGTGTTATCTCTTCGATTTACACACGGCATCTATTGCACGTCTGTCCATCCTGGGAGAGGGATCCCTCCTCTGTTGCTTTCCCTGAGGTTTCGCCCATGTTCTCCCTTTAAACTGTGGGGTTTCTCTCTGGAAGTTTTTCCTTGTACGATGTGAGGGTCTAAGGACAGAGGGTGTTGTATTGTCGTATTATTCTGTACAAACTGTAAAGTCCACTGAGACAATTGTAACATTTGTGATATTGGGCTATATAAATAAACATTGATTGATTGATTGATTGATTGATTGATTGATTGATTGAACATCTCCCATGATCCAAAGCTTCTTTACAACCTCACCAATTACGTGACATCAACGTAAGAATGCATTTCAATTACGTTTGTTCAACTGGAATACAAACAAACCATTGCGTCACTTCTATTATTGTGTTTAACTTTGCTTATGTACATATATTTGTGACGCCTATGCTCTCTGTGTGCCCACGTCTATTTTTACTTTCAACAGACTGATGTGTTTATATGGGAACCTCACCAGCCACGGGCCATTGATACCCGATGATGTGAGTAACAGACATTCGGAGAGTGTTTATGAGCAATCCGACCCACAGCAGCATGAGGCCTCAGCGGAGAGGCATGGGTGCAGAACATAATTCAATCCGGATGGGTTCCATAAACCTTCGGAAAGACACATTGATCCGGTCTGCTCGTCAATAATACACAAAATACGCGTCAGTGGTGCAAACGTGAGGGGGAGTTTTCCATAGATGGAGCTGATTCTTTAATGGCAACACACTCAGACTGGTTAACAATGCCTGAGGTGTGTGTGTTTCCACCTTTTGTCTTTGTGTGTTTAGCATGTGTAAACAGAGTGGACCTTAATCTATGTGTGTGACTGTAAAAGCGCAGTTATTGGTAATAAAACACGCGTCAGGACACAGTGAGATTAAACAGGTTTTGTTTAAGCAAAGTGGATACAACTGCATATAAGGGCCAATGTAGGTCTAAAAAAAGCTAGGGGAGGGGGATGATATTAGAATAAAAAACAAAAATATGTTACACTTCCCCTTATTCTGTTACTATGTGGCTTCACTTTGCAAGGTTGTATTGACCTCATGACATCACGTGTTGCATTCACTGTTTACCGCCTGTGGGGTGTTAAGGTTGATCCAACCTTGCAAAGTGAAACCATGTGGTTCCTTGATAAAAATCTGACAATATTACATTTTGTTGTTTATCTGAATATATACCCCCTTCCCTGAGCTCCTTGCTTTTTAAATACTTTTGACCCAAATGGCCCTTATAAGCCTTGGTGGATATGCGGACTGGCCATCGGGACGTTCGGGACGAATCCCGATGGGCCGGTACTGAAGTGGGCCGGTCGGACGATGTGGGCCGGCCGGGAGTCCCGGGCTGATTTGTAGTCCCAGTCCGCCCCTGATACAGTGTGTGACACCAGAAAGGCCATATTAAGCTTGTTTGTCAGTGTGTGTTGCCCTGTGACCCAGGTAACAGAGGGACATGTACTTTCTGATAGATTACGCCTTACATAACTGCACATTCCACCCAGCAGGTAAACAAGCACCGGGACTAAGGTCAAAAGCAGAGAGGCACCGGCTCGACTGGAGCCAGACGCTGGAGCCGATCCGAGTCACAGTGACCCACATGCAAACAAACTAAAGTAAAGCTGTCATTAAAATATGTACGCCTTAGAAAGCATAGTAATCAAAGAGAACTGTAAACATCCATTTGCGTAGTCAGTTAATTGTTACTGTAGCACAATGACAGTCAACAGAGATCCAGGAATGCTGGAAGAAGTTCTGAAGACTGAAATATGGTTCAAACACGCTACAAAATGTTGGGGGATTTCTACTTTTAATGTGTTTTTATATGTTTTTATCGTACCAGTCCACGATTGCTCTACTATGGAGCTACGGCTAGTAAATGGTTAAAGACCAGAAGTCAGATTAAGATATTTTTTCCTGATTTGGCATTGCAGTAAGCACAAAAGGTTTTGAGTAAAGATCACAGAAGTCCAGGATTAAGAAGGAATTTGAAACGTGTGCACGAAGCCTGCATTTGAACAGGAGTGAGCAATAAATCCCTCTTCCCTTGATTCATTTATTGGCAGCACATAGCTAATGGAAAGATAAGATGATATCAACTTTACTGAACCCTGAGGGGAAACCTTGGAACGGGCTGTGACGGACGCAGGCAGACAGGTTACATTACAAAACAACAAGCTGATTACATTCATGGTAAATAAACAGCTGGTCCTCATCAGCATGTAAGCATTAGTGTTAAAGGTAAAGGCTTTAATGCATACTGACGCACACTTAAAGGGTGAGAATAGGTTCAGTAGGAGCTGGTTTCACAGTGCAGACGCCTCACTAATACATTTAAAGGGATAAGATTATGGGAATGTATAGGGGAGAAAACAAGAACTTGGGAAAAATTGGGAAAACAGAAGCTGAAGACAGCAAATATTTTTATGCTTTTTTAATGTCCTAATCCGCCCATAACCTAATGCAAAGAATCCAGAGGGAAATGAATGCTGGTGATACTTCTCAAACTGATGATTTAATATAGATTATGCAGATTTAATTAGATTTATGCACAATTCTGTAAAATCCATTTGTATTTAAATGTGTGTTTTGTCATAGTATCATCCCAAATCCAGTGAGTCAGATTGGTAGTGTGCAGAGGGTTGCCCTCGATGTTAAACTGCCCCGCTCCGCATTATAGGCTTACGCTAATGCCTCATTAGCATCAGTGTCTCACTGACTCCGCTCTGAAACAGCATCCTCCTCCACTACAGAGGACCTGTTAGCGTCACCGCCAACCACGCCGAGCGGAAAAAGTGGAGCATGACGCACAAGAGAAAGTCATGTCACGTCATACAACTGCTCAGAAACACTGAATGTATAGTTAAAAACAAAGCTTTTATAAAAAGACGACTTTAGTATCTTGAGGATGTGTTAACGTCAAGCCCAAATTACATCACACTATTCCCACAATACAGAGAACAAACTGTGATCACACTCTGTCTTTAGTGAGAAATCTCCCTCTGAGGATCTCTGTGTCTTTAATACTGTTGACTCTGAGGCAATAGGTTAGACACACACAGATGGGAACATGGATAAACAGGATTTATGTGAATGTATGTGTGCATCAAACTCATCATAACTCCTAATCTGGCCTTGCGTGTTTTGGTTTTTGATTGTGACGGGGAATGGCGTGCTTAAAACTCCGATGTCATGCAGGGCCTGTGTTTGCTGACACGAGTGGATCAGAGGGGAAACTGTGTGCGATGGGCTTTTACGCTGCTTTTCCATGAATTCCAAGGGATTTGTATAATTACAGGAAATAAAGTATTTCATGATAAACAAAGGATTAAATGTCATAACACGAGTGTGGTCCCTGAGGCTTTTAGCCATGTGATGGCCTGTCAGTTATCCTGATGGCCTAGATGAAAATAACCCAAACAACTGAGAATTTGTTAAAAT